TCTCAGTGGTTGAGAGATTCATTTTTTTCAGTAGTCACCTTTAGGCACGCAATAGATCCCACAAGTTCTTGTTGGTACAATCCTTAAAGTGTTTCATGATCACTAAGCCTGGGAAATACTAGAATGGTGTAAAGAACACAGGAATCAGTCAATAAAGAGTTACTATGAGGAAGAAAAGGACACTTGGGGCGGCCAGTTAGCTCAGGTGGTTAGAGTGCAGGCGCCTAGCACCAAAGTTGCCGGTTCAATTCCCACATGGGCCAAGGAGCTGCGCCCTCCACAACTAGATTGAAGACAACGACTTGACTTGAAGCTGGTGGGTCCTGGAAAAACACACTGTTCCCCAATAAAATTTATTTTAAAAAGAAAGAAGAAAAGGACACTGATCCCACTCCCCACCATCAGCTGGAGGTGTCTGGTACCCTGGACCACTGGGTTTCGGGTCTCAGGGCCAGGTGGGCAGAGTGGAAGCAGCTGCCAGAGTAGAGCAAGGCCAAGGAGGCTGTGCCCTGCAGATTTCCCGTCCCAACCTGCCACGCTCCAGTATTGTTGTTTAGGGAGGTGGGATGGCTTGCACAGTTGGAACTGAACTTGGTATGAAGAGAATACCACAGAGGCAGAATAAGGATTTACTTTCATTATTCCTGTGGCGCAGATACACATGCATCCACACCCACACCTTTGCACACGAGCTTTTACACACTCATGAAGACGAACGTAGAAATTCATCTACACAACCCCCCTCCCCAGGAGGCCCTCCCATCTAACTGCACAGAGAGATCTGGCTGTACCCAGGGCTCCTTGAAGTACTTTGGGAAAGGCCTAAGAAATCTAGGGCACTGTGGGGGGTGGGGGTGGGAATGGGGGGCTGTATCTCCCAAAGAAAGGGGCCCGAAAGGCAGGGCCCCCTCACTTCCCTTTGCGTGAGGAAAACACCCGCCAGAAGCCTCCCCATAAAACGCAGGGCCTTGGGGGATTCTGCAGATTCTCGGGTGTCCAGTTGCGCATTTCCAGATGTGCCTGCATCTGCCTGTCTTTCCAGTGTCTCAGACAGGGCTGGGAAGGGCCAACGCCTGGCCCACCCCTCCCCTGGGGACCACCCCAACTACTGGGGCCTGTGGCTTCACACCGCCTTTTTGGTGGCCTGATACACTTTGGGCTCAATTAAAAGCACAGCCGCGAGAATCCCGGAGTGAGAACGGAGACACGGACCCTGTGAAGCCAGGAAACAAAGCTCTCTCCCCAGCACACTGGATCTTCCCAGGCAGAAAGCACATTTTTTTCCCTGGCCTTGTGCCCAGAGCAAGCCCATCACCTCTTCTGGAGGCTTGCAAATAAGCCCAGTGCTTCTAAGCCATCCTCCGCGTGCTCTTCTTGGGGTAGAGGGTCCTTCCCTGTCCAGCCTGCAGACATCTACAGGGGTGAGACTGTGTCCGGCTGGACCGGGGAATGGCTGATGGAGAAAATGGATGGAGAAAGCCTCAGAGGCCCTCAGAGAGAGGAGGTGACTTCCCCAGTTTTATGGCAGGTCGGATGAGGAAAGCTGGAACCTTGGTGCTATCCTTTGCCACTCTCCTGGCCTGTGTGTCTGTCTGTCCAAGCTGCAGCTGGAGCGGGGAGCTCCGGGGGTGGCGCATGGCTCTTGGGTCCGAGGCCCCAAGCCCTTGGGAAGGACTGGAACGGGTTAGCGGCCAGCTGTTTGCTCTTTCTCCATTGTTGCCCCTAACAGTGGTTTGTAAACAATGACACCATCTTCCACAAGTGCCTCTCTGCTTTACTGGGTCTGAGGTGCTGGGAATCTGGTGGATGAAAATCAACAACTCAACTGAAAGGCAGCTGCTATGGGGTTTTGGGTTGGGTTTGTTTTTCACCTGAAGCAGGGCTTCACCAGAATTCTCTCCCACGTATTTCAAAAAGTCCCCTCCTGGGTGGTTGTTGGGACAGGGACCCTGTCTGAGTCATCTTCATGACCCTGGGGACATGGCACAGGGACCAGCAAACGTTAAGAATGAGTAATATGCATTGAGTTAATAGTAATAATAGCACGGCATTTAGGGACTCTCACTATAGTGCCAAGCATCACGCCACCCTCTAACATGCACAGTCACAGGTAATCTCCACGATTAATAAGCCAAGTAGGGGGTACTAGCATTATCACCATTTTATAGATTTAAAGTCAGAGAGGCTCAGAGAGATGAAGTCATTTGCCCAAGGTCACACAGAGGCCAAACTGAGATTGGAAATCAGGAATCTAGGGTTATCTGCCATAAAAAGTCCATGTTCTCCCTACCACATGTTCCTGAGTGAGTCAGCAAGTGAAGGAATGAATGAACAAACAGAAAAGTAACTGTGCAGTGAAAACAGCACTGGATGTAGCTACCAGTTCCGGTTCTGCTCCTGACCAGCCAAGGGACATTGGGCGAGCCCCTTACCTCTCGGCCTGCCTTGGTTTCCCCACTTGTACAATAAGAGTGCTGGACCACACCACACGATCTCTATTGCCTCTTGGGGTTCTGACAGGCTGGGATTCTAAGGCAGCTGCAGTAAGGGAGGAGGTGATCTGATCTCCCCACCCATCTTCTGAAACCAACAGCCCTCTGTCTTCACTTGCGGGGAGGACCTAGCCTGATGCACAGGGCATCCCCAGTAAGTCCTAAGTGAATAAGGAAGCCCACATTGCTATGTGTCCCGTCCTCAGGCACCAACTGGCCCTGCAGTTTCTTTCGTCTCACAAACCCCCTCCAGGATTCTTTCATCAAGGTGCCCCGGAGGGTCAGTGGGAAACCCACTTTACCCTACAAATCCCCTCCTGGGTCATTGAGAAAACCAGACAAAAGAAAAGAGGTTCATGCCCAAAGATGTCCATTTGTGTCATTTTATATATATATATATATATATATATATATATATGTATACATATAACATCAAACTAATGGCTGCATCCAAAGTATCCGACCAGATGGGGCAAGTGGAAGTCATGACACAGCCACTCCACCCAGGCAAAGAGGAAACGTCTTACGACAAATGTTATGTGAGGAAAAAAGAATTTAAAAAATTATTTTCTGTGGTGTTGAACTTCATAACAAAAATAATGACAAATATTATTCACTCACTATGTGCTAGGCATTGTCTGAGCAGAGTTCTAAGCATTTTACACATATTAAGTCACAACAGTGCTTTATAAGGAGGCACTAATATTATTGTCAGGTGAGGAGACTGAGGCATGGAGCCCAACCAAAGAGGCGGAGCTGAGATGTGAATGCCGGCAGGCTGGGTCCATGCCCTCACTCACTACTTAACCTCTAAACTGCAAACCTGGGTTACTGGTTTCCTGTGCTCTTATATGGGTGATTTTTCCCCTTATTTGTCTAACCTGTCTGTATGGTGGTTCTATCATTTTATAAAAATTTAAAAGGCTTTAAGAAACCAAATAATAAGCACTGGACTGGACATCATGAATCCCTGGTTTTAGCCCCAGGACTACAATTACTTTGCTGTGGGGCCTTGGGTGAGTCACTCCACCTTTCTGAGCTTTGGTTTCCTCTCTTCTAAAATGAGAGATTCAGGTCAAATCACCTATGAAACTCCATCCAGCATCGACCATCGGTGACGAGATCAAATACTCCCTACAGCTCTGTGCAAACGACAGGCAGAACAATGCTCACTCTCCCCATTTTACAGGTCGAGAAGCTGAGGCTCAAAGAACTAAAGTGACTGGTCCTAGTTTAAACCTCACCTCCTCAGGGAAGCTACCCCCCTTACCGAGTCAGGCCACTGTGTTCTATGCTCTCATTGCAGCCCTGTGGTTTTCCTTCCCAGCATTACTGTTTTATTTTCTTCAAGAGATAAACAAGGGTCTGTGGCCACGTAAATTTGGAAAATGTTAGAGTAGACCAAGTTGACTCTCTTCAAGATTTCTCAATGCCTGTATTAATGCTGACATGCTCTGATCTCCAAGACAAAGACATAGTCAACCTGTAGCATTTCCCAAACTTATTTGGTCCTGATATCATTTTAAAAATATTTTTATTATGAGATTTCATACATAGAGAAAAATACAGAGATTAATCCTATCACCGTGTTAATTATTTCCCCAACACCTTGTTGCACCTGTGTCTCCCCTCTGCAGTGTACGTGCCAACAGGGCCTGTTCATGATCTGGGTCACTGCTGAATCTTTGGTACCTCCCACCCCACCCAGAATGTGGCAGAAGGCCAGTGCGTTTGTTGAATAAGCGAGTGAACAGAGGAAAGCTAGTGTTCTCAGCTCCTGAGTTCTCACACAGATTAATGATGACTAACTCATCATCTGAAGAATGTTTTTAAACTGTCGGTGGTTAAAATGTATTTCCTTTCAAACGCACACCAGGAACCTCTAAGGAGACCTTCACCCATCCAATTCAATCAGCTCACCAACCCACTCCCCAAGCCCAGGACATCTTCACATTCTGCCTGTCTGGCTCTACCCCAAAAAGGAAGAGAGAGGACTCAGAGAGGCATGGTGTACTGAGGAACAGCCTCCCAACATGTGCAAAGCTCAATATCTTAATGCACCTCTGTCCAAGGGGCCATTCTCTCTCCTGGTCACCTTGCTCACTGGTGGATAGTCAGTATTGTGGTTGTCGTGCTGCTGAAGAGGACAAATTTGAGCACTTTTACACACACGTGGGGCTTTACAACAGGATTCCCGCTCTCCTGCCAAGACATGGCGTCTCTGACCCACTCCTTCCCTCTCCCCCATCTGTCCTGCTGCCTTCTGCAGTGAGGTCCAAGGTGGGGGGAGCACATCCATGCACTGTGCTCTCTTGAAAAGAGCCATGGAATCAGACCCATCTAGGCGTGACTCTGGCTTCATCACTCACTAGCTGTGAGACTCAGAGCGAGGGTCCTGGCCTCTCTGAACTTCAGTTTCCTCATCAGCAAAATGAAGATAATTACATTTTTTAAATGTGTACAAAAGAGGTTGGTAGACTGAACCCTGCTATGTAAATGAGTGTAAAATTGACGTACATTGAGCCCCTCGTATATACTTTATAAATTACACTTTATCTCATTTACTCCTTGCAACCACCTAGTGAAGTATTGTTATCACCTCCATCACCACCGAGGCTTAGAGAGGTGAGGTCACTTGCTCAGGATCACTCAGAGGGTAAGTGGGAGAGCTGAGTCTGGACCTCACATCAGCTGACTCCAAATTCCTGCAGAGAGACTGTATTTCAGGACTAGCAAGTAGGTGATACCTCTGCATAACACATTCAGTAATAACTTGGAACCCCCTACACACACACACACACACACACACACACACACACACACACCCCTACATCATCTACCCTGGGAAGCACCTTCAACCTGCTTCCGCCATTTACTTTCTGAAGGGTTGAGATGGACCACAACCTGCAGGGGGCACCCAAGCGATGAGGAACCATTTCACCAGCACTTACTTGGTACCACGCTGGAGCCTTCCCATTCATTGTCTCAATCCCCAGGAATCCTCAAGGTACAAACTATTATTATCTCCATTTCATAGATAAGGAATTGGAGCCAGAGAGGAAAAGTTAAAGCGCCCCGATCACACTGCTGGTAAGTCAGAAAGGATTTGAACCAAGCAGTTCCTTTCCAAATCCACGCCACCAGCTGCCTCACCCAAATCTGCTCCCAGTCCTTCTCCTCCAGCTGGCCCATCGGCAGTCAGGCCGCCTGGGAGACAGCCCCACCCATCCAATGCCTGGCTCCTGTAACCTCAAGCAAATCAACTTCACCTCACTAGGTCTTAAGCTTTTCATCTATAAAATGGGCAGGGAAATATTAAGGTAAGGTAGATGAGTGGCTAGAAAGATAATGCTTTGCAAACTACTATGTAATCATGAGAGCAGCTGTGCTGTTAGGCAATTCAGCAGGAGGCTTGGGGGCTTGGGGGAGGGAGAAAGTGGTCTGGTATGCCTTACAGGTATGACCGCTCCCACCCCCAACAACATACAGGCCCTAAATGATACTCACACTCAGAGGCAGTCACTGCTGGGTTGGCTTAGAGGAGAAAGAACAATGCCCATTGATCAGATGGGACTGGATTTGGATCCAGCTGGGCTACTTCCTAGCAAAAGTGTGACTTGGGGCAAGTGGAAATCATCTGGGCCTCAACGTTCTCAACTGTACAGTGGGGGAGGAGCAATCATGATATCAGACAGTGAGGACTCAATGAGCAAATATATTTCACAGGCCTTTCAAAGTGCCTGACGCGTAGTAGAGCACATAAATATTTATTGATTAGTAGACACACAATAACTGTCAGTGTTTTGCTCCCTCAACTAATCCCGTGGCCCTGGCTTTTCTGAGTCCCCATGGTGGAGGGGGCACGCATGTGTGAGTGGCCCTGGCTCAGGATTCTAGGGGAGATGGGGACAGGGCAAGCATTCACCCAGGTTCCTCAGGTGAGCCTTTCTTCACACATAGGATAGTTGATCCCTCCCCTGATCTCTCACAGAAACCCTCCCCCCGCACCCCCCCCGCGCCACACACACACCACCCATCAAACTACGGGAAACAGATTGTGGGGCTGTCTCTAAACCTCATAGTTGAATTTCTTCAGGACCAGGACTGTGGTTCATTCGTCTCTGTGTCCCCAGGGCCTGGTGCCAATAGACATTTGGTCAGGTGAAAGAATGACAGAGAACTATGCTGGAAATCTGATTTGCTACTAAGTCAGGTAACCAAGCCTCCTGCCTCACCAGTGCCAACAGAGACTGCCTTCTCCCTCCGAATTTATACTCAGCTAGGGGCACTTACTCCATCTCACTTAATCTGGAGAACTGGAAGTGTGCCCTTATGGTGCCCATTTTACAGATGAGAAAGCTATGGCTCAGAGAGGGTAACTAAGTTGTCCAAGATACACAGCCAGTGAGTAGAGGAGAACGGAATTCAGGTCTTCCTGAACCCAGCTCTGCCTGACTTCAAATCCCCGCTTCTGCCCCTGCCTGCTCCCCGGGCTTGACTCAGAACCGCCCCACCAACACACCATAAGGGCATCTCGATAGGGGAAGGGACAAAGTTTCCTACTAACCAGAGAAAAGGCGGCAGTCGAGGATCCTCAGTCCAAAATCGCCCAGGGCTGAGGAGCAAAAGGGATGCCAAGAAAAGTTCCCCCGACCTAACACCAAGAAGGTAAAGTCCAAAGGGAAATGAATGAGGGGGATCTGAGACCAGGACGGGCGCATCAACGTCCTGTCCCTGCTCTAGCCCAGGCCAGAGGGACCCACAGGCAAAATAGACCCAAACCAGAGTGGAAGGGCCCGCGCCAAGCGCTGCGGTGTGGGGGCGGGCCCAGAGAGGCGCATCAGGACCCCATTGGCCAGCCCTCTTCTCCCTCGCTTTGTCACCGAGCCCGCCGGAGACCAAGCTGCCCCAGACTCCCTCGCGATGCCCAGGGGTTCTTGCAGGGGGGCCAAACTGGCCTGTGAGCCCAGACTCCCGGCTCCCCATTACTGCCGTCACCCCCACAATGCTTGCTTTCTTTTTTGTTTTTCCTGACAGATTGACAGGGAAACTTAGGGCGGCTGCTCTGCCCTCCTTGACCACCAACACCACCCTCATTGCTTTGGTGTAGCCTCCTTGCCCGAGGCCGTCAATCCCCCACACCTGGGTCTGGAAGGTGGGTCAGACTGGCTTGGATTAGAATCCCAGCACCTCCCCTCCTGTTGTGAGACCACAGTCAAATCACTTCACCTGTCAATTCTCTTACCCGAAAATGTGCTTTGCTATCCCTATGACCACACGTTCTGAGGAATAAATTGGTTAGACTTGCTATAAAGGGACATATCCTCCCACCTCATCATTGTATGAATGGGGACACCGAAGTCCAGAGACCAGAATAATCTTTTATACTAGTTAATATCAGTTCGTTGATTACTCTAGTTAATGTTGGGATGGCCGGTTAGCTCAGGTGGTTAGAGCTTAGGGCACAGTGCTCATAACACCAAGGTTGCCGGTTTGATTCCCACATGGACCACTGAGGTGCGCCCTCCACAATTAGATTGAAAACAACTACTTGACTTGGAGCTGATGGGTCCTGGAAAAACACACTGTTCCCCAATAATCCCCAATAAAAAAATATTTTTAAAAAATCTAGTTAATGTTATTCTTAGCTCCCACCCACTGGGCAGTTAAGTGTCAGTCACTGTGGTAGACACTTAACATCATCTCAATGGCTCTACCAATAAGCCTGCAGCATAATTTTTGTGTCCATTTCACATATGAAGAAACTGAGGCTCAAACGAGTTAAGTGACTTGCCCAGTAAGTTAAAGGAGTTGAAGAGTTGAGAAGTGGTGGCCCAAAGCTCTGCCATGAGTTAGGGTTGTGCAGGAACCTAGGACTCCCCAAACTGGAGTTTTGAAAATCTTTGGGGTGATGAACAGACCCTTAAGAAATCTGGTGAAACCATTGGATTGTCTCTATCAGGAAAGCACCCTCATAGACAAGTGCAATCCTGCTCAGTTTCAGAGGTGCTCATGGACTTCCTCCAGCCCCCTGCAGGCAGACCCCAGAAAGCCCCCTGGCCCACCCAGGGGATCTGCCCACATGCACCCCCTTCACCAAGCCTCGCTTCTGGAAGAGTCTGAGAAACAACAAAGAGACAGTAGAAAAATCTAGAGAGAGACCAAAAGAAAGAGACAAACCAGAGAAAGCAAGTGAGGAACAAGAAGCAAAAGGAACCAATGACTAGCAGCAGTTGCCTTGGATGGGCGTCCTGGGATGTGGGGCTGAGGTGGGGGGGGGCTCTGGATTTATCTGAAATGCTTGAACCTTTTACAGTATGAACATATCTGAGTGTCACCTGAGTAATAAGTAGCAACTAACAGTTGTTTACTAGAAAGAGAGACTGAGTGTGGAGACAAAGAGGACAGAGAGATACACAAAACAAAAAATGAGAGACAAAAACTGAAGGAGAGAAAAAAATGTAAAGCTGGGAAAAAAAAGACTGAAATACGGATAGAGACCACTGAAGAGATGGAGAAAGAGAAAGGTAAACAAAGAGAAAGGCAGAGGGCAGAGGGTCCTCTCAAGCCCTACCGCCCGCTATGGGGTTCTGCCTCAGTCCCTAGCTGCCGCGGGTGCCCCCACCCCTTGCCCCGACCCCAGCTGACCTGGAGGACCCGCTTGGTGAGGCCCGTCTTTTGCGCGAGCTGCTTCAAGTCCTTGGCGTCGGGGTTGTGGTTAATGGCAAAGTAAGACTTCATGGTCCGAAGCTGGTGGTGCTTGAAGGAGGTGCGCATGCGCTTCGTCTTCTGGCTGCTAGGGTACGGCTGGTCGCGGTCCAGGTGCTCCGCGTCGTTCTCGTTGCAGCTCAACGCTGGGGAGGGGACGCAGAGGCAGCAGGTGAACCTCCTGACCTGCCCCCCACACACACACTGCCTAGTCCACACCTGCCCCACCCGCCACCAACTGTTTCTAGCCTACGGACCACACTGCGTGTGCCGCACCACGCTGAGATAGCGATATTATCCCCATTTTAAAGATTTACAGGGTAATTTGAGACCTGGGGAGAGTGACCTGCCCAGGGTCACTCAGCTAGGAAATGGTGGATTCAAACCCAGCTCTAGAAGAATCCAAAACCCATTCTGAGCCACCATGTTACAATAATCATAAAATGAATAACAACAACGACAGCAACTGTATATCTTGTTGATGGCTTATTTGACTCCAGATGATGTGCTAAAGGGCTTTACGGGGACATTTTCATTGAATCCTCAAAACAGCCCTATGAGTCAGGTAGTGTTTTCGCCTTTTTTACTGACGTTAAAACTGAAGTTCAGAAGGGGAAGTCCCTTGACTGAGGACTCGGCAGCGCAGGGACTCGGGGGCCCACACTCGTCCCGTTTCCCCCTGCACTCCCTAAGAAGGGGGCAGCCGCGGGTCTTCCCCAACAGTGTCTGGCGCCGGCACCTGGAAGCCGCTGGCTGACATCTCTCCCCTTACTTTCATTTCTCCCTTATCAGTTCCCACACCCAAAAGTACAGTACGACCCCTGGGCCTGCCTCGGGCACTGGGCTGAAGGTCAAAAATTGTATTTTGTAGTTTAATCTTCACCGCTGCCCTGTGAAGCAGTTTCCCAGTTTTACAAATAGGGTGAACGAGGCAGGAAAGTTAAGCAAACTTCAGAAATCTCACAGAGTGGCAGGGTTCTAACTGGGAAAGGAAAAGAAGTTGGAGGAAGAAGTAAGCATGTATTTGACACCTAGGGTACGCCTTTGGGTGGCCAGTGCTATTCATCCCACTTTACAGATGAGAAAACTAACACGAAGGGAAATGAAGCCACGTGCACATGGCCATACCACTGGTAACAGCTGAGCCTAGATTCATCACTGGAGTCCTTGTCTTTTCTTTCCACTAGATCACAAAGGCCCGCAAAGATGAAGCACGACTCTTTGGGGAACCCGTCCCCATCCAGAAGGAGCCCAGCTGGGGCCTGGCTGCCAATGCCTGGAAGACACTGAGAGTGGGGGACAAGGGTGGGAACCTTGGGCCTCAGAAAGTTGCTTGGCAACCTGGCAGATGATTGGGACACACAGGAGCCCTCTCCAAGATCCCCTCGTCACATCCCAAGCCATTACACACGTAAGGTCTCACTTTGGGGAAAGCCTCATAGGAGATTAATTCAGTCCCCCCGAAAGTGGGCAACTGGGAATATATCTCGTGCCTCATCATATGCCCACAATAGAACTGCCAGAATTAGCAAATAAAAATACAGGTTGCCCAGTTAAATTTGAATTTCAGATCATCAATGAAAAATTGTTTAGTCTAAGTATGCCTCAAATATTGCACGGGACATACCTACACTAAACATGTATTTGTTGTTTACCTAAAATTCAAATAATGCATGGTATACACTTATACTAAAAAAAAATTCATTGTTTATTTAAAATTCAAATATTGCACAGGATACCCTTACAGTAAAGATTTATTTGTTGTTTACCCAAAATTCAAATTTCACAGAGCATCCTGCATTTTATCTGGCGACACTATCTCTAAAGTACTCCTGCTCTCCTGGTGACCTCCTCCCCGGCCCAGGTGGGAGTAGCCCCTTGTAGAAAGAATTTGCAAGATGCAGGTCTTGTCCCTAAACTTGGAGTGGTTGGCAAAAGGCTACACCCCCTCGGGCCCCTTCCCACGGGCACCCAGATGCCCAAGTCCCCCACCCGGACTAGTCCCACGGACAGCACCCAAAGTGAAGAACTGGGGTCCAGCAATTTAAAGGGGATCAGAAAATGACTCCAACTGGGATCCAAGGAAACTGCCCTGCCCCCTCTTCAGGAGAGCAACCCTCTTCCTGCCCTCAGTCCCCAGCTCCATGAGGGGTGGGACAGGCCTCCCCACAGGGGATCTCTGGGCCCATCCCTCCGCCCAGCCCCCGCCTGGGCCTTGCTGCTGTTAATGAGCTCCATGGGGACCCCGACGCCCCGTGCACCCAAGGGACGTGCCCCAGAGCAGCCTAGATGGGGGGAGGTTGTTCGGGGGAGGGAGACAGAAAGAGGAGAAAGAGACAGGGGTAGAAAGACCAAGAGAATGAAAGGGGAAAAAAGGAGCGCGGGTAGAGAGGGAAGATGGGTAGAGGTTGGAGGAGGAGATGAGAGACAGAGGAAAAGAAGGCAGTGGAGACGGAGAGAACCAGAGAGAGACAGCTACGAAGACAGAAAGAAATCTGCACAGACACAGCGCAAGCCTGAGGGGACAGAGAGGCCCGGAAATAGGGGGGAATGTGTGGTGGAGGGTCCAGGTTACTGAACTGAATCCCGGGTCTCAAGGAGACCGAGTGTCCCTGTGGGGAGGCCTATTCTGAAACCGTTACTGGCCGGGGGTGGTGAAAAAGTGAAAAGGAGGGAAAGGGGGGAAAGAGCCGGCCCAAGGTAGGGAGGTTGAGGCCCGCCCGCAGCTGGGGCAGGGGGCTGCGCTGGGGGAACAAGGAGGCGGGGGAATTAGCAGTTAGGCCCAGATTTGGCCAGTGCCCCGGGCCCCCGCACTCCCGCCCCAACGCCCGGGGCCGGGTCGAGATTCCCCAGGATCGGATCCGGGGAGGAGCGAGGGGCCGAGGGGAGGGGGAGGACCAGGCTTTCTCTCTCCTTTTTTTTTTTTCCTCTCAATTAGGCCGATTCAATGGAGCTAAAGAGCTCGTAAAATCATGAATAATTTACTCGTGATCTGTTATTAACCCATCGGGTTTCGAGCTCTTGTCGCTGGGACTGAACCTGTAATCAAATCTGACTTCGCCTCATTTTACTAAAGACGAGATTGTAGGTTCAATTGTCTAAATAATGGATTGGAATCAAATCAGTAATTACGCCGCCAGGCACACACACACAAAAAGCTGGGGTTGAGGGAGGCCCGGGCGTCCGGCAGGTCCGCGCGCGACTCCCGCGGCCGTGGCGCGCAAACCCCGGTGCAAAGTGCGCGGCGCGGGCCCCTCGCCGGCTCCGGCCGGCTTGCCCGCACCCCTGCCCGCGGGCAGCGCCACTCCGGGTTTGGGGGAGGTTTCCGTTCCAACTCCGGGACCCGGGCTGCGTTCTCGGACCAAAGGGACAGCCAGAAGAGGGCCGCGGTGGCCACCGCCCCGGAAGGACTTTCCGACCTGCGGCCCCGCGGCTCCGGCTGCCCTTCCCTAAACCGCGGCGGACCCGGCGCACCGACGGCGCTCCCTCTCCACCCTGCCCGAGCCCACCGCCCTTTAATAAGAGAGGTCCTCCACCGCACTGTCCGCCAGAGCGATGGGCTTTGCAGGAGTCGGTGTGGCTGGGTCCCCGGGTGCGGGACACTCGCACAAACAAGCTCGTGTACTCACAGTCTGAAACACACACAGACATTTGCCGGTGCACACCGCTCGCAGTCGCACCCTCCAAGTCCCCCCCCCCATTTCTAGCTCCCGCCGCCCCAAGGCCCACACGGCGGCCATTTCTCTCCTGTCGGTTCGAGAAGAGAAGGAGGAGGGCAGAAGCCAGACAAGGGGCGGCCTGGCCAGGCGATGTGGCCAGAAAGGCACTCTCTTTTCCCAGCCTAGTCCCGGGAGCCCCGAATAAGCGAGCCGCACGGCCACGGCCGAGGAGCTGCGCGCCGTTTATACCAGTGCAGGAAGCCCGGGCCAAGCCGGGCCAGAGACGCGCACACGGGGAGAGAGAGAGAAAGAGGGGAACAGAGAAACAGAGAGACATATGCAGAGAGAGATCGTGACCGAGGAAGCCAAAAGAAAGAAGAGAGAGGGGCCAAAGCGAAAAGGAGATGACACGAGGGGGATATGTCTTATAGAGGTGCCAGCTTCCCTGAAACGCAGCCTCCATCCACATCTCCTTACTTGCTGTGGTGCGGCCTTGCCAGGGAAGGTGGTGGAACAGCAAAAAAGCACAAATAAATCTTTGAACCTTCTACCTTTCAATTCCAAACCCGGTTGTGATCCTGTCTGCCCGGGAAAACACAATCCCGCCCCACACCCTCCATGTGCCCAGCGCCTGCTGCTTCGTACTAAAGGCCGACCCTACTTGATAAATAGACGTGGCTTTGTCTGGGAGACCTGGTCCGGACTCCCGTTTATTCTATTTTCAGAGTGATGGGAGATGAGAGATGGAAGTTCTGGAGACTGATATCTCTGGTTGAGACTTCCACAAACCTATAAACAGCTGGCGTGGACCTGTCTGCCGCCACTTCGCCGTCTACCAGACTCGGGGCTGTACATTCCTCCCGGCTCGGCACACTGAGACACACACGCCCCACGATCTTCCAACAAGCAATTTCGTTGCAGCGAATAGGGGAACCGCACCCGCCCCCAGCCAGCTCAGATTTTTAAAGATCAAAATAACCCTAACTTCTTCCCCACCGCTGCCCTCACCCCCACGGTCCTGGGTTTGTTTTGCTTTTTGTTTTGTTTCCACGTGTGCATTAGACTAAGGGGAAAAGGAGGAAGAAAACAAAACCTTTGAATCCGATTCTGTCGCAAACTAAAGAAAGTAATTGCAAATAAACTCTATGTAGTTCAGAAGCCCGGGGAGTCATAAACCTTTCCCGGTCCTGCAGACTTCGGGCAGATGTTGACGGTTCAATTTGCCGAGCCCCAGAACCTCCGCAGCTGTCCTGAGCAAGGAGGGGCGCGGGAGGGGGCAGAGCCTCTCCGGGAACCGCTTGGGGTTCAAAGACGCCGGAAATGCGAAACGAGCCCTCCACCCTATCCCGGCGCGAGGCCAGGCCTACTCCGGTCTCTTCCCCGGGCGCCGGCTTCCGAGGGTCTCAGCTCTCATCCCAGCGCCCCGCTGGCGCCCGGAACTCGGAGAACGGAGCCCGGGGAAAACCGAGACCTGGCGGAGCAGAAGGATCAGGCGAGTACAACGACCCGCCCTTGCTCAAACGGCTCCGGAGACCCAAGTTTCGCGAGCCTGCCGCCTTCAGGATACTTAACAGGACCGGTCGCACGCTAAGCCGAGTTCAATGCCCCCAGCCACCGCCAGTCCTTTTTCTCTTGGGACCGTCGCTGCCCTGCCTTGGGTCATCCATGGTCCCAATTCCTGCCCTCAACCGCTCCAACCCAGAGCCTGTTTAGGTCTGGGCTCCACCTTGCTTTCCTATCCTTGTACTTTCTGCCCAGCAAAGTGAGGGAAAGGCCCCAAGCAAAAAGCTGCAACTAAAAAAATTTCTCAGCGATGAGGCCCTGCACCAGGAACAGAAAGACACTAAAGCACCCTCTGGTCCTGCTCTAGCCGAGGCCGAATGGGATGGAGCCCGGGAGGCCAATGTCCCTCCAGCCAGGTCCTGCGGTGCCTAGGACCTGGGGGAAAATAAGGCCTAGAGTACCCAGAAGGCTGTATATATACAGATATATTGCACACTGAGATTCACTCGGGCTCGCGGCAGTGGACACCACGCACTTTCCCGCAACCCGACGGGGGCGCTCCGTGCGCCTCGCACTCACCAGCGTTGTAGGCCGCCAGATCCGCCCCTGGGCCCGGGCTCTTGCGCTTCCTCGGCCGCCCCTTCTGCACCGTGCCCACGCCATTGTAGTAGGGGAGACCCAGCGGGTTGGCCCCGGCTGCGCCCAGCCCCGCGCTCTTGGCTGCGGCGGCTGCCGCTGCTGCAGCCGCCACATCGGCGTGGTTGAAGTGCGCGGGGTACTCGCCCTGCAGCAGCGCCTCGAAGTGCAAGCGGCAGTAGACCAGGCTGTCCTTCATGCCGAAGTGGTCACCGGTGGTCAGCATCTTGTTACACGTGGTGCACGTGAAGCAGTTGAGGTGATAAACTAAGTCCCGAGCCCGCATCACCATTTCCGAGGCCGAGATGCCCAGGTGGCAGCGGGCGCAGCGCTGCACAGAGAACCTCCTGTAGGGACCATCGAGGGAGGGACTGTGGGGACACACGGTTGGGTACCCCCCATATTCCTCACCAGGTGCCGCTACTACCACTGGGGAAAATCCCCTCCTCAAAATGGGCACTCTGGGTCTTAACTTGGAGGATGGGGGAAGAGGGGACAGGATTTTGGCCCAGCTCTGGTCCTACCCTGAAATTTAGTGTCCCTTAACCATTTTCATGTCTGCAATGGCTTCTACTTTACCCAGAGCCCTGGCAGACCCTAGGAAAGCCTTTGCTTGGGAGTGGGAGAGACACTCCCCACTTACCCTCCCTGAAAACTTTACCCCTGCCCCCCACACCAGCGCCTGGGAATCCTGCAGGCCTTTGTAATTTGGAAGAAACACAGAGGCAGGGAGAGAAAGAGGAGAGAGAATATATAAACAGACCCTAATCCTAAACTCAGAGAGTTAGAAACAAGGAACTTGGAGCCCGTTAGTGAAGATTCCGGTTCTTTAATCCTGGCCAGCTTTCACTCCCATCTCCACCAAAAACCCGGAAATGTCCCCCCCCCCGTCCAATCCCCCAGCTCTCCCTCCAACTTTGTTCCACACCAGCCAGGCTGCCTGGGTTTGGGGGTGCCTGTTTCTGTTCCCTCTGGTTGACCCAAGAAACTTCAAAGGGAGAGGGGGATACAAGCACCGGAACCCAAGCTTAGTTATGGTCTAAGCTCATAAGAGGGTAGCTTCTGCTTTTCTCTGGATTCCCTACATTTCACAGACCTTTCCAAGAGTTCCCCCAAATTGCTGTTTGAAGAGGTTGTTGCCCAATTCGTGCTGGCTTGGAGAAGGGGGTACCCAAGTAGGGAACCCTCCCTTGGGACTAGAGGGAAAGGAGACAGGCAAGATTGAGTTTGAGATGGGGAATCCTGAGGGGCAGTGGGTCCCAAGGTGGGGGGCTACCTGTAGTAGTCTTCCTTGCAGTAGATACTTCCATCTTTGCTGAAACAGGTGAGCTCCGACTCCAGGTTGAGCTTGCACTCACAGCACTTGAGGCAGCGCATGTGCCACTGCTTGTCCACCGCCAGCAGGTAGTAGCGGTCCGAGATCTTGCCCCCGCAGCCGGCGCACAGCGCAGCGCGGTCACTGCTGATGGACGGCATGGTCTGCGGAGGGAGGGAGGTGGAAGACGGCAGCGCCTGCGTCAGCCTGCGACCCCTCGGCTGCGGGGAAACCGGCACCCAGAGCTCCCTCAGTAGCTCGAGCTAGCCCTAAACGCAGAGGAAGCCGCCAGGATGTGCAGCACGCTTCCTCCACCCCAAAAAGCCCATATCCAGGACGCTCAGAACCCAGGCCCGCCCACACAGCCCAAGGCGGCCACAGGCCCAGGGCCGGTTGCTGGCCTGGATAGATCTCCCCTGGCATCTCCCCCATCCTGTCCCCCCTGCCCTCTCCCTAGAAAGTCCCAGGCTGTGTTTGGGGACTCAGGCAGCTCCAGTCAAGACCTCCAAAAGCTCCCCCAAAACCGTTTCTTACAGGAGCCTCTCAGCTGGGCCTCGTGGAAAAGGGATAAGATGATCATTCAAAGTCAAGCTCCACGCAGACTCCTCTCCAGAAACACAGAGGAGTTTCCGGCCTCCAGTCCCAGTGATCTCTGGGTCCTTAAGCTAAAAGTTTAGGCCAGAATAGGTCGCAGGTCCCAGGATCCTGGGAGATGGTAACTGGGATGCAGAGGCACCCTCCAAGTCTGTGAGTGCGGAAAGGCCCAATCCAAATCTTGGGCTAACCACGCTGACAGGCTGAGACAGTTTAACCCAGGAAGAAGAGCTCAGAAGACGGAGACACTAGGACTGCTGCTCTTTCTTCCCAAGCAGAGAAACTTTGCCCGCGCTCCCCACCTCCTCGGCCTCTAAAGGTCATTTCTTGGCCCAGCTTGGGCAGCCTCTGCTCGTCTGGCCCCCAGGGAGGTCTGAGGCAAGGAACTGACTATTTGGGGCTTGAGCCGGGAGAGCCAGGTGTGGAGATCAGAATGGACTCTCCTTCCGCGAGAGCCAGGCCGGAGCCTGAACTCTGAGCCCTGGCCTGGCCAAGTCTGGCGGCCAGGAGGCCCTGGTCACGATCAACGAAAAGTGCTGGCCCAGAAGACTTCGACCCCTCCAGTGGAGCTGGGAAGGGAACCCCGATTGCCAGGAGGCGGGAGCGGCCTAAGCCGGCTGGAGCCCCAGTGCTCCGGGTTGGTTCGCCCTTCCAGACACCGCCAGCAGCCGGGGCGAGTGGTGGTGGAGAGCGCGGGGCTGGCGACCCAAGAGCCGGGCGAAGTGAGAAAAGAGCCATCTCGAGCCACGGGTAGGAGAGACTTGTTTCCACTTCGGGAGAAATGCTCTCTTACACCCTCCGGGTCTAAAATTAAAGTTTCAGCCTTGTTTCCCTTACTTGCCCCAGCAGGCTGGTTACCCACCAGCCAGGAGCTACGGGCCTTTGCATTCTGACCGCGGATCACCAGAACCCTGTCCCGTGCGGCACGAAGGACGCTTCCCAAAGTGCCCCCAAACTTTGGGGAGCAGAGGCGCAGACCGACATGGCCCCGTCCCAGCTTTCGGCCCCGACCCGCAGCCGTGCGCCTACCGTCTCCGTGTCGCCGCGGTCGATGGCGGAGCTGATGGCGGGTGCCTCGCTCTTGGCCCTGCGGTCCATCTCGTCGATGACCCCGTGCACCTCGGGGCCCGACAGACTGTGGAACAGCATCGCGGCGGGACCGGCGGGGCCGGGGGCGCGGCTCCTCCGCGGGAGGGATTGCCCCCCGCCTCAGCTGCCTGGCGCTCCCGGCGCTAACGGGCCCGGTGCATCGCCACCGCGGCCCCGGCCCCGCCCGAGCTCGGCTGTGCCTCCAGGCCGGGCTCCGGGCCCTGGGCGCCCGCGGGCCAGGATGCCTCCCGCCGAGGCTCGGGGGCAGCTACATCGCGGGGCGCCTTGGCTGCGGCGCCAAAGCTAGGGTCACAAGGGCACGGGGCTGGGGGGAAGAAGGGGGAGACAAGGGCAGAGGTCGGCGCCCGCCGCGGGCGCTTTCACGCCGCGGGCATTGCCGGCCCGGCTTCGGCGCCCCGGGCGCAAAGCAGGAGCGCAAAGTCTGCCCGAGGCGGCGACGGCTGCGGTCGGGGCTCACCCGGGAGCGGCTAGGTGCCCGCGGCGGCCCAGCTGCCTGGACCTCTCCCTTCCCTGGGGTGCGCTTTCAGCCCAAGGCGACCCCCTTAGACGCTGGGTGGGCTACTGGAGTAGGGGTTTCTCCGAAGCCAGCGAGCCGAGCCGAGCCACCGGGAGAATTGAAGAGGAGGAGGAAGAGGAGGAGGAGGTGGAGGAGGAGGAGAGGGAGGAGGAGGTGGAGGAGGAGGGGAAAAAGGAGGAGGAGCAGAGTGGGAGGAGGAGTCGCCAGCCGCGGGCCCAGCCGCGCGCAACGCTCTCCAAGAGCGCGCCGAGCCCAACCCCGGCTCTGCAGTCCGCGCCAGCCAAGCGTCCGCGCCTTTTCTACAGCCGCGCCTGACATCACGTCCTGCCGCCGCGCCATTGGCCGCCCGGCACCCCGAGCCCTGGCAGCGCGTGCTACGGGAAGGCGGGAGACCAGAGGGAGGGGAGAAGCTAGAGGAGAAGAGCATGGAGTTGGTGGGAGCTGGTGGGCGAGGCTGGAGGGGAGGAGTGGGAGGGAGAAAGGAGTGTGTGTGTGTGTGTGTGTGTGTGTGTGGTGGTGGTGGTGGTGGGGGGGAGCGCTTGGAGTTTTTAAGCTATGAACAGTTTCCTGTGATTTCTTCGGGAAGGAAAATTAAACCCTCTTTCCTGGCCGTCTCCATCCTGAAAAGGCTCAGCCAGAGGATGCTTGAAGAGGTCTCACTTGGGTCTCCCCTAGGCCCGGAGCCGCTGCCTCGGGCAACGACTGGAGAGGCCTGGGAAGGCAGACTAAGGCAAAGCTGAAGGAGCTTTCCGCTGCTTCCCGCCTAGCTCCGCCTTCGGGCCAGGCTTCACGCCGCCGCGGGCGACTGACCGCGCAAGCCTGCCGAGGACCCGGTCCAGCCAGAGAAGCCCCAGCCCCGTGGGAGCTGTAACTCCCAGGGAGGGGGCCCGTCAGCATATCCACGCTCCAAGCGAACCAGGGCCTGATTTCTTGCTCATCCCAGTCTCTCTCCAAACTGGAAGAGTGGGTGCCAGCACATGCCTTTAGGAACTAAGAAAGGCATGAGTTCGAATCCAAGTTCTGCCATTTATACACAAACCTAACCTTAGGCAAGTGACTTAACTTCCCTTAGCCTGTCCTAATTTTTCCAATAGGGGACATCCCCTGCACATGGATGTGATGAACAAAAGAGATCATGGATGTAAAATGCCTGGAATATAGTAGGCACTAAGCAAATTCTTTCATCGCTCTCACTTTCCCCTCTCCATCTCCTCCTGTTAAAAACTTTCCCACTCCGAGATATATTAGGCATCAGCAGGTTCTTAAAAACCACAGGCCCATTCTGTGACCTCTGGGTGCATCATACCGTAGACCCAGCTTTTGAACTGGCCCATCCAGCAGCATGGCTGCACCATTTCCCCAAGGACCAACAACCTGGCTTGCTGGATAATCCCAACTGCCACCCTCAGTCCCCAGACTTCTGGCTTAACCTAGAGTCTCTTGGGGACTCCCCAAGGGCAATACCCAGGTGTGTGGTGAAACTGAACTTAGAAAATAAAATGTGATTGTAGAGGAAAAACCGAATGAACAAGTCAGTTACAGAGTCCCATCTCCTAGGTCTGCTTTGGAGGTGGGTCACTCTTAAGAGGCTAGCTTAAATCTATGCAGTTTATCTTACAGGGCACAGAGTTTGAGGCAGCACAAAATCATACTTCCCACATACCATTCGCAAGTTTCAGACAGAAATATATGTGTGCTTGTAATGCCCAAGCACATGCACTCGTGTTCATCTGTGTAAACGCACATGTTCATCTCCATTGGCAAAAACATGGCCAGCAGGAAGGTAGAGCTAGGGTCCACACGTGCACATCCAGTGTAAGTGTCCAATGCCAGGCAGGACGTTATACGTGCAATTGCATTTTCAGGCGATTCTACTTAAATCCCTGCGTGCGCATTCTAGGGGGCCATGTTTTGCGTATTTGCAAAACTCTTGAAGTTACAAGTATGTGTGCACACGCTGCACGTGTACAGATACCCCAATGCGAGGTAAGGACCATAAACCCAAAAATGCGCGTGCGCGTGTGTTCACAGAGTGTGTGCTTTGGCGCCTGCACATAGCCTGCGCCCGGGCACGCGGACGCCTACACAGGCATGTTTCACTGACGCATCTGGGCACTTTCTTTGAAAGAAAGTAGAGAATGAAAATCTAATCTGGGAGTCACTGGGGTTCATCTGGAGGCTGCCCAAGGGGTAGAAAAAAATGTGACAACGCTGGAGCGTTTGTCCTCGGTGCAGCTCCACGCCCAGGCTGGATGGATGCAATACGGTTTCAAGAACTCGAGGGGCTGCCTCAGGAGCTTGGGGGCGGGGGGTTGGGGGGGGAGGAGCACGCGGTAACTCTTGCCGCGGGCTTCCCAAGAAACGTGGAAACACACCCTGCGGCTCTTCACTCCCCCCATACGTGTGAGCACACGATTTTGTCGCCACCTCTCTGACCAGCAGCCCACACCCAGCGCTAACCGACCCCAAATTCCCTGGCAGTCAGGATTCCCGCCGGATGCGCCCGCCTGTTTATCTCCTGGTGTCAGGCTGGGACGCGTTCTGGTCTGCAGGAGGCTCCAACGCAACTCCCGCTGCGGGAAGGGATCTGGGTGCTCGGCCCGGGTTCAGAGGCCGGTAACTTTGCTAATCTCCCCCAGTGGCTGGGGGACGTGGCACAACCGCTGAGCCCTGTCCGCGGAGACTAAACAAGGAGAGGAACAGGCTGTAAACACACGTCCTGACACGTGAGTGACATTTACACAGCGAGCGGAGCCGCAGCCGAGGGGAAGGCGGGGGTGGGGGGAGCAGTCACCCGCAGGTAAATGGAACCTTCGGAGGCGCCAGAAACAGCAGCCCCTCGACGTCCCTCTCCCAGACAGGGGAAGAGACTCCCTAAGTCTCTTAAACCTGCCTTTCGTGGGAGGTGACAGGTGAACGGAATTCAGGTCTGGCTACTCTCGCCGCTGCCTACCTCCCCACCATCTGCTTCCTCGCAGACAAGCAGACCCCGCGCATAATGAGGTAGCAGCCTCCAGCCGGCCACCGTGACTAACTCAGAACAAAAGCGCTCCCTCCACGCCTCTTCCAACAAAGGGGCCACCAGCCCCGGCGCTCCCCGAAGGCTGCGGGGCTCCCGGCTGCCGGCTGCGAGGCTGCCGCGCGCAAACTTCCCGGGGCTGCCGGCGCCACGGAGCCGGGGCCGCGGAGGGAGGAAGCACACGCAGCCCAGAGAAAGTGAGGCCGGGCCGGGCGGGGGAAGAGGGGGCGGGAGCCGGGGAGCCGCGGAAGGAGGGTGATTGATCAATGCGCTGTTCCCGGAGCTCTGTCCCGTTATTAGAGGCGGCCAAAGCAGGGCCACGCAATAACCTCCGAATCGCCAGCTAATTGACGCTGCAGGCAACTACTTCATTGTGCGCGGTGGTTTTATGTCTTCATAGCCGGTGATTGACAAGGTGTAATTAGTCATCTCACTCGGTGATAAACATGGGCACCCTCCTCCCGCGGCATCAGGCCGTGTGTACCAGCAGAGGAAGCGATAGTTGACGCTGATATACCATTAAATCAAAATGAAGGCGTTCAGAAGTGTGTGTTTGCTGTGACGCTCTGATGGTTTATTTCTCAAATACGGCACCAACAGATTTACTTGATTTGCAAGTTAACTACAACATTAACTGGTTTTATTTATTTTGCCTCTTCCTTCCTCTTCCTAGGCAGGGATGTTGCTCTTGGAGAATGTGAAGACAGTTTGCTTCTTGACAAGCGAGCGAGCGGGCGCCCAGATTTTTGCAGCCTCTCCGGAGTCTCCCCCGAGGGAAAGGCAGGCAGAAAAACCGCCAGATTTGGGAGTCACCAGGGAAGGACTCCGCGCAGGGAGAGCCGCCCTCCTTGGCCCCAGACCTGCGCCCGCCTTTGGGCACTGGAAATGGATGACCTGAAACTGAGGACGGTGCTGGGGATTGGGGTCGGGGAAGCCTCTTGGATAATAACTGCGAAGAAGAAAGAGGCAAAAGCAACGTTTCTTCTCTGCCTTGAAGCAGAAAAGACTGTGTTCTCTAAGCTGTTGGCGGCAGTCACAGGGCCAGTTGCCTGCCTCGGTTCTCTGAGGGCAATATCTCCGTCCTCCCGGTTGCAGCATTCATCAAATTATACTCCTTGCTCATTGAAGTGGGTCTTGCTTAGGGAAGGGTGTGTGTGTGTGTGTGTGTGTGTGTGTGTGTGTGTGTGTGTGTCCCTCTACAGGATGGCTGCTACTAGAGTTGCTGGTTACTTGTTCCAGAAACCTGGATATTTACATTTTAAAAAGGGAGGGAGCATTGCTGGTTGGACTCCCTGAAATTGCTATGGTCTGTCTTGATCCTAATTCTAGTTAGAGAATAGCAGGGAATAAACAAAGCCATCAACATCTGAAAGTCCAGGGCATCACACGTGTCCCCAGAAACCCCCAGGAACGAATCTGTCCTTCACTGTCCCCTTCTCTCTAACCTCTGTCTCTTGTTTGTATAGCAGAGGAATGGTGATTCCTTGTCACTGTGCAGGAATGTAGGGTTGTGGGCATCTCCAAGAAAAGATAGGGCGAAGCTGAGTCACAGAGATGGCAGAAAAGTCCTATATCCTCAACAAGGACCCCCCCCATCCCCCTTTCCCAGGCCTGTGAGCTTCCATCAGCAAAAGCGGGGAGTGTTTTATATTGATGTGAGAGGCTGTCAGTCAGTAGCAAATCAGCTCAGGCATGGTTACCTCTTTATGAAATCAGCTCATTGCCTTGGTCACACCTTATAGAAGATTGGCTGGTCACTACTATTAATTGAAAATTAGTGGGGCCATAGTTGTTTCAAAAAAGAACCCCATATCTGTGGATAAATAAGTGGCTTGGCCTGTCTCAGGCAGAGGAACCCAGTTCCTCCTTTTCTCCCTGCAGCGATCTGAACAATTCTGAAACTGCCTCCCTGGGCGTCAGCTGAGTAGGTTGGGGAACTAACCAGGGCCCTCTCTCTAGGGCCCTGTTAAATGCACTGAACTTAAAATGAAACACGAAGTGTGAATTTCAGGTTTGAACATGATGCATCAGGCAACATGGAGGTTGGCAGCCCTTTTCCTCCCCCCCTGCCTTTCGGTAGCTGGTATTAATA